ATGGTATACACACTCGAACCACGAAATGCCATACTAACACGCAAACACATGACGGAAATCACCGTCCCGAAGCTGTAATTCTACTTATTACTGAATCGATATCGAATCGAAATCGATTAGATTTTGCTTCTTTAGGTCACAATTCGATTCAATTTTGTCGAATCGTGAGGTTCTTAACAATACCCAGCCCTAGTATACACGGACCCTTCTAAAACTAGGGCTGCACAATAAATCTAATTATTATGTTTTTGATAACAAAAAGGTAAAATGTGTGACAAACAGCATTACAATGAAGTACTGTAGTGATGCAGAGATGCCCTGGCCTACAAATTGTGATGATTTTTTTTCAGTGAAAATTAACTGTGTTGCAAAAAAACGATAACCCCCACACTAATTGTGAATCATATCGCAATAGCTGTCAAAATAATATATGTATTATGTATAATAATATGAGGCTTTTCCATATCGTGCAGCTCTATCTAAAACAACTTGAAACTAAATTTGTTTGGGAAAGGAAGGAGGAGCAGGTGTTCTGCAGAGCCATACATACAATTACAATGTGGCACATCTGAAAGTCTAAAACGCAAATAACAAAAATGATATAGACAATAAAGGACTGAAAAATGTGCCGCTCAAATAAATAAAGCTATGACAGGCACAGAAAATGTAATCCAACAGCAGTAAACTGTGTACGGAGGACATCTTAAGTCTGCAGCTGCTGGCAGGCATTGTCCGATTGGTCATGGCAGAAGCCCAATGGGATAGGACGAACAGAAGGTGGGGGCTTGTATGAATATTTTGGCGGGGGGGGGTATTCACATTGTAACCGGCAACAGGTCAGCCCGGAGACGTGGCGTTTGAGACAGCCTTGTTCTTTTCTGTAATCACTATTGGGTAGGGTTAAAGATCTGACCCATGGCTTTTCAGGTTCAGCCAAGCATCCCAACCCGGTCAGCCAGGAGGGGGGATGTGGTCTGAGGGGACAAGGACTCCAAGTGCTCCTTTTTTTCTCCCTACTGTGTTCTTTTATCGACGACAGAAATCCAAGCACTGATGCACTTATGGGAGGGGGGTGGGGGTGAGGGGCTCGTTCAGCTGCCGGCCACGTCCCTACTTAGTAAAGGCGGCCACGCAATGTGTTTTAGCGTGGTGGAGAGGGGAGCTGGGGGCCGTCACAGGTTGTCGACTTGCTTTTATATCTGCCACACTGTAGCAGAGCTCAGACAAGAATCATTATTGCAATTAGCATTTCTCCTAGCATATGTGTATGCAAGTCGAAGACAGCCGAATGCTCTCTCTTTCTCAGCAAGAACAGGGAGACAGCCTGCTGTTCTATCATGCTGCTCTGATGATTTTGATACAAATCTGTTGTGAAGGGTGAGGTCCCTTCCAAGATAAATAGTACTGAAAAAGAGTTAGGAGCATGAAAATGAACAAGAAATGGTACAAATAAAACTAATCCAGTCATTGTTTCGTTTTTTTCACTGCAAGGCGGGGTATGGAGTCCCATTTGATAGAATGTTATGTCCACAGAGTGATGCCCTAATATACTGCCTTTCATTTGTTTCTATACAAACCTTGCATGTGAATAAAAAAAACAAGATTTAATTTGCATAAAATGTCAGAGATTTTTTTCTGCTTCTTTCAGGAATATCACTTAGCTATTGTAAGATGTTTGTTGAAAACACAACTTAACAGAAAAATACCTTGTCAATTACAATATAGCCAGTAGTTAAAATATAAACAGCAACATTTGTGGGGCAGCACCCAGAGTACCATAGCCTGACAACAACTCCAAACCCCATCACAACAACGCTGGAGAACAATAACGAGTGAAGTTCATTAGAATGCTGCCTCATTAGATGCTTCATCACATGAGGTGAACCAAGTGGACCCTAAATAATAAGCCTCCTAACAGGGATGCCACGGTGAGGAAATTTTCCCACCAGTTTATAAACTCATGACAACAACATGGTTACCGATTACTCCGGACATTTTATATTTGAAGATATTCATCAGTGATGGTCAATATCCAGTGGTGCGGTGAAACACGGTGCAGAGCAGAGCAGTCACAGGTGAAGTGAACCAACACTGACTTACTTTGAGCTCATTATTTTGGTTGCCTCACTCTTGTGCGCTGGAAGGTGTGTGTGGATTAAAGGTGTTACCTCCAAATGCTGCCACCTTCATCAGACAAGGTTCACAAATTGCCTCAATAATGTTACAGGATTCTTATTAGCATCAGCAGGGTTCCCAGGGTACTTAAGTGGGTCTGAATGGGTGTACTCATTTTTTACTTGCCCATTTAAAACTGTTTTTATTTATTTGCCCCGACATTTTCTGGAAACTTAACATGTCTTTGAAACATTTCGCCTTGCCATCAAACTTCTGTCAAACTGGCAGAATTTTATTTTATGTTGGCTTATTTTTACTCTAACCCTGTATTGCAACTGTTGCACAGTAATTTCCCTCGGAAAAATAAAGCTTCTTGAATCTTGAATCTTGAATTAAAAAGTGCAGCAAAGTGGCCCTGTTTGAACAGATTCTTTGACAGCTTTTTAGATTGACACTGAACATATGAGGTAGGCACCAGTAAAGTAAACATAGTACATAGGCTTCTCCACAAAACACAATAATTCAAACTCACTGAGAACAAATTTAAACATTTAAACTTAAAAATGTACCCGTCTTAGCCGAGTAGTTTAAGGCCAGGAAGGAAGAAGAGTCATTGTCATGATTTAAAGGGAGTATCTAGACGGTAATGCTAAAAATGGACCGACAGGACACTAAGCGCTGGCTGACATCATCGCTCTTCCTGCAAAGCGAACAGGGGGAAAACGGGCAGCGAGCAGAGTGCAGGTGGAACACGGGGAGATTGAATGGGAACTAAAATGTAATGCGATACTCGCGGACTGAAAAAAATCGATACTTTCTGGGGAAACAAAATACGATATATAATGCAGGATCGATAAAATTGCTCAGCTAAGCGCCTTTCTAGTTTTTTCAACAACTCAAATGAGCTGACACTAAACAATGCAACACTCACAAACCCATTCAACACATTCATACAGCTGATGGTTAGTGTGCCAATGCCAAGGTGCCACTTTTTTGCTCACCAGAACCGGAGACTAAGCATTCATAGCTAGGGCTGTAACGGTTCTGAAACCGAGACCGAAATCGCGCACAAAATGTCACGGTCTCCGTGTCGCGGATCCGAGAGCACAGAACGCGACACACTCCACTCCCGTGGACTGTTGAGGGCTCTCGTTAAGAGTGTAACCTTGCAGAGGGTGCGGCCGCCCGTGGGGTGGTAGCGGTGTAGGCCTATATTGGTATTTGTGTTGACAGTAGGTTATTCTAGGTCATTTTCCACCGTTATTTTAGTGTTTATTTTTACTACTTTAATCTGCTCGAAACGTTTCTCTCCTCCCACACTGCAAAACAGAGAACACACCTAGCCTGGACCTCTGCTCACTCACGGCAAACAACGCCCGCTTGCTCCGCCTCTTTCTGTCTCTCTCTCCGCTCCTCGTCTCCCCTGTGTGTCTCTGCTGACTTTTCCATCGCAGTACGTTCATAAACTCCCACCCGTGATTCAGTTTTCAAGTGAAGCCGCGATGTGGGTCGCAAACCGAAATCAACGTTAGTGAGTGACATCTGGCAGTGGTGCATTCACTGACCGCTCCGTAATGTAAGATTTCTGCGTATCCGCTTAATGTACATTTAGATACAATCTCTCTCGTCGTCCCTGTTTCTCTGCAAAATGGAAACGGGGAAAAACCGCGGTATGAACTGAACCCGTGGTCAAAAATCGAGTCTGAAACCGAAACGTGGATTTGGTGAATTGTTACACCCTAATTCATAGCACACTCGTACAGGCCGATGCACAGCATGCAGGAGCAATCGGGGGTTCAGTGTCTTGCTCAAGACATGCAGCAATAGAGGATCGGTGATTGAATGCCCAACCTTTTCCCCGATTAGTGGACAAGCACACAACCACTCATACTCTGACCCCACATCATTTTTCTCCCAAACTGGCCTGCTGGTAACTGAGTGTGTGTCAGCTGTCAACAGAGATGAGAAGGAAGCAAGATGGCTCACGTACTTAGCTACTGTGCCATCACTGGCCCTGCAGAAAAATGGTGCATTTAATTTGTTTTTTTTTTACAACTTGCCCAATCGGGAAAGTGAAATGCTAGCTTATTTTCCCTCATTTTCCTTATTGTTGAGCCCGTGATTGAGTTTAAATTTGAATACTGCGCAAATAGTCAGCTTTTGTTTTTCAGTTTGAAACGCAACATCCCCTGGTTTTTGTTAAGTGCAACCCTCTTCTAATCATTCTATCATTGACATGATAACTTAATCTGACTCACTCCTCAAGCACCTTAGTTTAGTCAGTTTAATTGTAGCACCCGTAATCCAACCTAAATAAAACAAAACGACAAAGGGCAACTATTTAATCACTGTATGCCTGAAAACTGCAACAGCGGTAATACCGACTTACTGCGGCAAGCCTAACTTCATTAACCGTCGCCTTGTCTACCTAACATACAACTCCAGGTATTCTGGTCTGACCATTAAAT